AGGTGAGGCTGCTGGGGTGTGGTCCTTCCAGCACAGTGAGCTGCTGTAGGGCAGAGATGGGACACAGTACTCGGCTTTGTATCTCCAGGCCCTAGCAGGAAGCCTGACTCTGGTCATTGCCCAGTGAAGAGTATTGAAAAACTCTACTAAGTGGGAAAAAAAGATAGATTTCTGATCAAATTGGCAGCTGGGTGGCTTTTGAGGGGAGTAAAAATAAAGTCTGCTTTGCTAGGCATAAACTATTTTGATCATCTCACTTCTGGAGATCACATAAGTTTTATGCACCACACACTTAGCATTTGGCAGGCACACAACAAATACTGTTTAAATACAAATCCTTACAATTCAGCGTGGATTTAGCTCCAATTTCAAAAATTATTTCTGTACAGATTTGCATCTTTGCCTTGCAGGTAGCTTGTGCAAGCCCTTTGAGAGGAGAGGGTCAGGGATGATCAGGAGAGTTGTTATTGGCCTTGGAATATAAGTGAGACAGTAAGAGACCCCAGATGGAGCAACAGATTTTGAAGTCTGGAAGTCTATCGCTTTCTGCTGGTCATACCAGGAAATGCAGCTCCGCTAAGCTCGCAGACCTCCCCGTCCAATAGAACGAAGTGATCTTTGTCCTTCTCAAGGGTGTTGGCCTCCTCTAGGATCATCGGGCGTTTGGAGAGGAGGGTTGTCAAGTTAATGCATGGTATGAGAGAAAATGTCTCAAGCAGGAATTCTGCATCTCCAAAGTGGTATTAAGCCAATTAGTCCTTCTCAATTACTCTGTAATTTACTCAAGTGTATTAAAAATATCATGGCAATGTGCAATAACAGATTTTTTAAAAGAAAGGCAGAGTGTGGTGATGTGCGCAGAGCTGCCTGTCAAGGGAGGGCCAAGACTGCACCGAGGAGGTGGGGGGCTTTTGTCTCTAGCACTCCTGGGTTCAAACCACAGCTCATCCAAATCTCCACCCTGACTTTAGGCTGGTCCCTCACCCTCCAGGAGCCTCTGCTTTTAGTCCTTGAAGAAATATTGTGCTTACAATACCTATGTAAAAGGTCCAGCACACAGTAGGTGCTCACTCGGGCCACAGAAGCTGTTTGTGTGTATATGGCTTAATTAAAAGATCTAAAATGTGAAACCAGATGTGGTGCCACACACCTATAATCCTAGCTAAGTGGGAGGCTGAGGCAGGAGAATCACAAGTTCAAGACCAGAACAGGCAACTTAGCAAGACCTTGTCTCAAAAAGAAGGAAAAGGGATGAAAAATCAACAGCCAATATCACACTAAATGGTCAAAAACTGAAATCCTTCACACTAAAATCAGGAACAAGACAAGGATGTGCACTGTCACCACTCCTGTTCAATATAGTTTTGGAAACATTAGCCACAGCAGTTAGACAAGAGAAAGAAATAAAAGGAATAAAGATAG